GAGATTATCCAAGATCACCTCGAGGAGGCTGACGAGACTTTTGAAGTGCTGCTGGTCTCTCCTGAAAGCACCGTCATTGGCAGCATCAACAAAGCTACGCTCACCATCAGAGACTCAGCAGGAGGTAAAAATGAATATTTTGCCACAAATGATGGCATTTGAGGAAAGACTTATCTTACCCCCGAACTAAAACCACAGGGCAGTGCAGGCTAGACCAGAATCAGGAGGCTCCTGTTCTTGGAGGACAGGAGATTCAGTCCAACACGTACCCTCAGCATGGATCCATACACCTCGAGAAACTTCCTCTTGGGACAGACTCCATCATCTGGACCCGTGGAGACAGCATCTCCAGGCCAGGAGCAGGAGTCCCCAGAAAGAAACTCAGAGTCAGAGGCAATGCAAAGTCAGTAAGTACATCCTGTAAGCTCTGCTGTTTGAATGTATTATATATAAAATCGCTGCAGTTTAATCTTTTTGGCACGTGGGTAGGAATGCTCCGTAAACTGCTGCTCTGTCTTTTTCTTTCAGATTGCACCGTCATCAGTTTTTCACAATGGAACAGACACAGTTTACACAGTAGGTAGCACTCCCCACTCCTACCAATGAGACTTCTGAAAGTTTTCACTTCCATTGCTTCTTCAATTTCAGTATCATGGCATCATCCAAATGCAAGTAGAAGACGACACCTCACCATCCAGGAAGGGCAGAAAGGCAAACATCCAGGTGGTTAGCAGGGGGGCACTACAGCATCGGTCCCACCCTCACGGAAAGATCTTAAAACCTCAAAAAGCTGGCGTGGCGAAGGGACATGTGAGTACCAGCGGGTTTTCTTCCCCCTCGAACTCCATCAGCTCGGCTTTTAGGAACGCTGAATCGTTTTGTTTTGCTTTTATAAAAGAAAAGGAAAGAATCTGCTCATGCTGCTGCAAATTCACACTTCCATCTCCACCAAGCACTTCAGCTGGAGAACAGCTGCTCACATGTTGTTATGGCCGCTGGACCTAAAAGCAGACACAAAAGTGTAACACAAAGCGAGTCGTTTATTAGGCTGAATACACGAACACAAAACAAGGCAAAGCAAACCGAGAACATGAAACTTGCAAAACGTTAGTGTGGTAATCTGAACATGAGCGGTAGCCTGAAACATCCTGAGACGTAACATGAAGCGAGATGGACAGACGACGTGAAATACACAGGAGGGTAATGAGGGAAGTGGAAACGCTGGGGAAACACAGCTGACACAAACCTGACGCCACACGGGAAGCAAAACTAAACACACTGAACAGGGAAACACAAGACTTTCAAAATAAAAAAGGAAACCTGGAGAGACGACACCACGAGCTTGACAAACATGAAACACATGACAGACTGGAGAGACACAGGAGAAGAGACAAGGGAGACACACACAAACAGGAAAAGAAAACAAGGAAACACAGAAGAAACTAAATAGATTAAAACTCAACAAACCCCAAACTAAAAGTAACACAACAAGGTCACATTATTCCAATAATAAGAAATCAAAAATCTAAAATAAACTCAACATGCTGGATCACAGACGCAGACATACAGTAGACTTTACGTTCTTGTCGTTCAGGTGTGTGCACCTTTGTGGTAGCATGATGTGCTAGCAACGCGGTGGTAGCTCTGTTGCTAGTGCGCACACTGGACCTTCTGTTGCTCCACACGCTGTGAAGTATGTTGCATATTATTGTGGAGCAGCACTATAATCTGTGTGAATGTTTGTGGGTCACAGACTACAGCTGGCAACCCCGTCCACAAACCCTGTGTGCCAGGACTTAGAGGCCTCCTTCATTTTAACCAAGCTACCAACGAGCTCTTTCACTGCAACGGTGTCTCCTGGAAAGCCTGGGCACCAACTGATCAGGTGCTACAGCTTCACAACACCAACACAAGCCATGCACATTAACCTGTGATAACACGTGGAAACTGAAAAGCTGCGGATCTAAAATCCTCTTTCCTGTTGAAACAGATGGTGAGTGCTCAGATGTGTCCTCAGGGCTCCACCTTTCATGGTGGTTATTGCTACACCCTCAGTACTGAACGCAAGCTGACATGGAGTGAAGCAAACAGGGCCTGCAGGGAAAGGTACAGCTGCGAGTTCCCACAAACACTTTATGCATTACAAACACGATGAGCATGAGGTGCTTCTTTTCCTTCCTAATGGCAGGTTTAAAGGAACACTGGCCAGTGTTGTGTCTCGAGCTGACATGGACTGGCTGTGGGACTTTGGTGGAAGGAAGCCTTTCTGGATCGGTACGTGTCCT